CAGTGAAGGATGAGAATGGTGATCTGCTTGCAGATTCCCACAACATTTTGAATAGGTGGAGGAACTACTTCCCTCAGTTACTGAATGTACATAGGGTCAGTGATGATAGGCAGACAGAAGACCATACAGCTGAGCCGTTAGTACCTGGTCCTAGCCCTTTTGAGTTTGAAAGTGCTATTACAAAGTTGAAAAAGTATAAACTGCTCGGTAGTGATCAAATTCCAGCAGATCTGAATTATATGATTACTAAAATACATCCTTGATTCGGTCATTCTTATAGTGTGCTTGGCGGGGAGACGTAGTGCTCAAACTCCTCATTATGCAGTTTGCCCGAGCCTTCTGTCACTTCCTGCCTCTTAAGTCCAGCTTCAGCATCTTGATCTGAACTGCCTCTTAAGTCCAGCTTCAGCATCTTGATCTGAAATAGCTTCAGTTTTTTCATATTCTGTTGCTCAGGTTGTTCTAAAGAATCCGTCCAATTTCGAGATCACGTATAAAATTTCATTCTTATTCATTTAAGGCGATAAGTTGTTAGTCCCCCGCCCAACCCTAAAATTATAAGGGCTTGTCCCTAAAATTTTCATTATGTAATTGAAGCCACACAGCATGACAGGACTTGGGATAATGTCATTTTGCTTACAATTTCGTAATTAAGCACGTTCGTATATTTCTCACTCAAGATAAGCAGTAACATGACAGAATGCAGGCGCACAATTTTGTTTCATTGCGAAATGTGTCAACCACACAATTTCAGTTGTGCTTCGGTTGCTTTTAACTGCTTAGGGCATGTAGCGCCGAATATTAGGATTTGGAAAGTAATATGGAAGGAAACGATGACGGTGTTATATTTGAAGGTGATCTATTATTATCTCAGAAATTTCCTAAAAGGGTTAAGAAAAGTCACGAAAAAATTCCGCCTGTATAGGCAACTTCTGGACTGATATTTGAACTTAGGAGGTCCCGAATATGAAACAGGAATGCTAAACACTCTACTACATCTAGAATTTCGTCAGCGTACCTCAGTACTCCTGAGCTGATTGTTATGTCGCCTGAAGGATGCAAAATGTTTTGAACTCCCGGAATGTTTACATGCTGATTATTACGTATACGGCTATCACACGAAGCTTTCTGCATTCATTATTCGTTATTTGAATGCATGCTTTACAGATGACGTCATGTTATATCCTATGGTGGGAGGAAGTGTATTTAATCTCATGAAGTCTCCACGTGTGGGGCCAGGAATAATCGTTCAGTACCTTGCGACGTGAATATCCTTACCGAACAGGTACACACAGTGACAGCGCTTGTATACGAATCTATATCCTCCTTAACACCAATTTTATGACTAGTATTCTTCAGTACGTACCTGTTGGTGAGCGTAATATAAACCATGGCCGCTCCCTACCCAGACACTTTGCAGTTCATCGTAAAGAGTCATTATCCCAACAATTTGAAAGTCAATTGTACCCGCAGTTGATGTAGGGTCGTCAAACAACTCGCGATTTAGAGATATAATTTACTTTGTTCCCATTTTTCCATTAACTTTAGTAATAGAATTTAATAAATGACAGAGTATCCAAATATTACTTTTGATGATGTGCTGTTAAGTTTGCACGAAAATAAACACGAATTCAATTGAATTATTATTATTATTATTATTATTATTATTATGTTTTATTCCTGCTCATTTTTAGTTGTCCTTTAGGCTGGTAAGTCTGCAGGTAAATAAATAATAACTTTATTATTATTCAACCTCTTTATTAACCGTCACAACACAACACACATCAAGGTCAGTGCCTAGCTACGGCTCTGCTACATGTTTCAGCTATCAATAGCCATCATCAGGCAAATACATGGTTAACATATATACACCATTGAACTGCAATAATATTAAACTGGATACAATACTATTAATCATATAAAACATTTGACGTAAAAATACAATAAATCTGATTATATAAAACTGAAGTTATAGTATAAAACAAGAATAAAATTTCAAATTGATGTTTTATATCATCGAATCAGTCGTTGGTTTTGTAATTTCGTTGCGTTCCCACGGACAAATTGGAATATTCTATATTTTTCTTTTTGTATATAAGATTGTATAGGAGGCTCGTCATATAGATGTAGTAAATTAATGTTAATCTGAAAATGATATGAAAATAATAGTATTAAATTTTGTTATAATAAACAATTTATTTTGATATTGAAGATATAGTATAAATATAATACTTACTGTTTAGTCGGTGCCTCGTCTTACAAAGTATTGTCCGTATTGTAGGGAATGTAAACAACGACTGATTTGATGATGTAAGATTGAAGTCAATGCCAGGGTGGGGGGGGGAGGTAGAGATAAGGTGTATGCGGAAGTGAAGGTGGGGTTAAACATTTCGGTAAAATTATCATTCAGTTGCAAATTTAGTTTGCTGATTTCGTAAAAGTGAAATCTTTCATATGTATCCAAGGTTGTAACACAACAGGATGCATGAAATTAAAATGAATTATTAATATTATTACTATATTGTTTATTAAGGGTTCCCGTAGAAATGAGCTAAAGGCTCTCAAGCAAGTACGCATTCAAATATTGCAGTAAAGGAATGTGATGAGGCTGTTTTCCGCAACACTTTATTCGTGTCAGAGTTTGTGTCAAGGCTCGAAATATGCTAACGCTGCTCAAACTGTCCCGTATTGAGTGGCATTCAACCTTTTGTTCGCGTACCCCAAGATATAATTTCTCTTTAACTTTGTACCCCCCAAATTGTTGGTGTATAATTAAAGTTATACAGTCTATAATCTACATCTAAAATAAATTAAATTAAATCCAAAATAATGTATTAAATAATAAGTTTCAAATGAGATAAAGGAGAATTAGGCTATTAAGTAACAAATATACTGTGACATGACGCCTAAAAGCCAGAATATATTTGTTAGCGGAAGCTACTAGAAGTAGAGCATACGAGTAATCTGCTGTACAGAGCCTGGAATGACAGCGGGCCTATATATATTATATATATTTATTAACACGTTTAACATGTAAAATATAAATATTCTTTACATTATGACAAATGGCTTACCATTGCAGACAATGACTCTAACAAAAGACAGACCCGCCCTCTCGTCAGAGAGGGCGCCCCACAATAACAAGAACGTAACTGTCAAAGAGTAATAAATATCTGGTTATGAGCCCCAGACTGGGCTCGACACCAAGACTGACTGACCGTCAGTCGCAATGTGACTTTGACTTTGACTATGAGGGCCGTAAAATACGTAAGTTGGGCATAATCTGCTCTGTAAAGCCTGTAATGACAGAGGACTTGTGTGTAGTGCAAAATCAAGAATATTTATAACATGTTATATGTGCGAAATATACATTTGACGAAAAGCCAAGCATATTCATGAGAGACAACTTAATCTTCTAGTCTGAGAGGATGTTACGTAAAGGCTATTACCGCAAGATTCAGGTTATGGGAAAAAATCTCTGGTCGTGGTCCTTAAGGGGCCTGACGACAAGATGAAAAGATTGGCGTTAAGCCGCCAGTTGTAAAGTAACTTTGACTTTGACTTTGACTTTGACGTTGACTTCGGATCAGATCAGAGAGAATTAGCACTGGAGATTGTGGTCGAGTTCTGGAGGGTCGGCATTCCAAGGTGACTGAACAAGACATGGCACGAAGACTTCATACTGATTTGAAATGAGAATTCCTGTGTTAAAATCAGTTGACAAGAAGCGGATACTGAAGGCATTGTAAAGGCATGACCATTGTTAAGAACACTTACCTAGCAACGTCTAGTTAAAGAAAATATAGAAGACTATTTTATGTGTTGTAGTGACGGTAATCTTGAGTGTGTAAGAACTAATTGTAGTTACGAATGGCTAATATCCAGTAAACAGATTCGCCAATCCAAACCCGTCTACAGGTTACTAATACACGTGACAATATTGTTGCCTATAGTATAAAAATTAATAAAGGAACACAGATATTTTAGCAAAGCAGAATTGTATGATTAAATATTTTATCAATTATTAATGTGGTTCTGACCTGTTAGCGAGGTGACTGATCCCCTTAATTCGGGCCCGAAATTTAATTTTATGTACCCCGTAAAATATCTTCTCATATCCCCGGGGTACGCACACCCCAGGTTGAAGACCACTGCCGTAGTCTGTGCACCTATTCTGATTCTTGTAGTGCTCTGTTTATTGCAGCCCCTATTGTTTTGTTATTCTTCTTACCTCATTATACTTGTACACGTATATATGACACATCTTTAAACAGGGTTATATCTGCTAGTCTAGTCTTACGTTCGGTTTTCACCCCAAGGTCGGAACATACAGTGACCGGCAGTATGCATTTTACTTTTGACAAGTATGCAGGTACGCAGTATATGTTGGTGGTATTCTTCTCGGCTGAAAATACACTCTATAATATGCATTTCAGTTCAAAAATATTTAGATATAAAATATTCCAGAACCACTTAATAAATGACAGACGGACTGTTACGTAAAATATACGATTAAACTTGTTATTCACAAAAGCGAAGCGTGTATATAGCAGATATAAATAAATATAAAGTACACCGAGGAAGCAACAGTTTAACAAACAATCTAACACAGGATGAAGAGATAACAAAAGGCTTCATCATTTCTTTATTTTTTATAACTTTTAAAAACTAGCAATCAAGAAACTGCTGTTACCACACTTAGTGCACTATTATTAAATTGTGTATAAGTGTGTCTGAACAAAAGAAATCGTGACACATTAGTATAAAGATAATTATAAAATTGCTTCAAAATTACATTTGAAAATAAGTCTTCATGATCGTGGCAACCATCTGAATTTCGGAGGAGAGATAGCTTCCGAAACATCAGGTACATTAAATATATTATAAAAAGTATGATAATAGATAATGAACGCTCCTGATGCAACGAAGAATTCGGTACACTTAAAACATGTACTGAAATAACTTAATGTTATCTAGTCGTATAAGCAAGAGTGTCTTACCTTTTATGGACTTACTCCCTCTGAGCTGCAAGAATTCGAGTATTTGTGTGTGTGAGTCACTGATAATGGGTGAAAACACTTGTGAAGGGCACTTTGGATCCAAGTTACGATACTTGAAATAGGTAATAGATATTGTCAGTCTGTAGTGCTGCCATACATACAATACATTCAAACTCGGTGCCAGTTTCACAGACCTTTCGAAATAACCCAACTTCTCTGCTTGATCTCTATGAACGCGACTGGATTTACGGCATGGGATGCACTTCATATAACAGTGGCTGCGTTGTCTGTCAAGAAAGCAAAGTCACCGTGTCATTGGGCAACTTGAACGTGATAGGAGTGTCTGTTAACCAGTCATTGTCACCCAGCCAATCTCCGTCGCATTACACGTTGTACCGAAGCAATGTACTTGTACGCCGGCAGGTATTTCCAGTTCATGTTACGTGAGTTACGCGTCTCAGCGGCGTTGGCCAACATCAACCTAGCCTCAAGATGTCTGGGATATCAGCTGACAAATGGTGGTCCTCCAACTTGGGGGTTGAACGAAATGTACACGATACTCCAGCCTTGCTGGATCCCATGAACAGGGCAAGAAATTTCGGTTTCCATAAAAAGCGGAGAATTTCTTGACTCAACGAGGCACTTGTTTTATGGAGTTTTTATAAGATATTTGTAATAACCTGCAGTTTTTTTTCCAAAATACATCAAGAATGCTATGGAATTAGTTTATTTATGAATATTGTCAATATGGTGTTAGACATTTGGGGGCACGCAGTAGCGTAGTTGGTTGAGGGCTATGCTACAAGCCAGAAGGTCACGGGTTCAAGTCCCGATGAAATCATTGGATTTTATCAATTGACCTAATCTTTCCAGTCGCACTAGGCCCTGGGGTCGACTCTGCCTCTAACAGAAATGAGTACCAGGAATTAATTAAATAATTTTCCTGGGGAGTAAAGCGCGGCCGGCGCGTAAGGCTGACAACCTTACCGCCAACTTTGAGCCGACTGTCTAGATAATGTGGGGCCCTCAACGTCTCACAACCCCATGGGCCTTCACAGCCTGGTACAGGGATAGCTTTACTTACTTTACTTTTACTTTACGGTGTTAGACATTTAACAGTAAACTTAGTTTTCTTATGAGTTGTTTTTAAAGAGCACAAAATGAACTCGTAATGGGAAGGTGTTGTCTGCCCATCAATTTTATGTTAACGTTTGAAACGATTGACCCTATTTCGATTCCTTTCCGGTCCTTCATATTGTCGAATGATGCGTCGAGTCCGTAAACAGTCTCCTTCTTGTAGTATATTAAACTTCAAATATTCACAGAATAGACACAATACGATAAAACAGAAGACTGCTCTGTCACTTGTGACCTATTACATAACTTACATTTATGCAACGACTTAACGCTCGACAGTTCGTTGCTGGTGATTTAATGGCAATGATAAATGTCACGTTTTTTTTTCAATGGCTCTTCCAGCCCATTCAGAGCCCAGGCCTCTTATTCAGCTCCGTAATCATTTTTCACAGACGGTAGGACTCCTTGGGGGAGTGATCAGCCCGCCGCAAGGCTGCTATCTAAACAGAGGACAACACAAACACAGACTAAACACATCGTATACCAAACATCCGTTCCTTATGTGGGATTCGAACCCACGATCACAGCATCCGAGCGAGCGAAGACAGTTGATGCCTTAGACCGCGTGGCTACTATGACCGGAAACCTTATGCCTACCATGCTTTATATATTTTTATATATAAATACACGCAACTATTCATGTATATGTTGAAGGACAAAACGAAGTGACAAATTAGTGTGATAATGTAAATAAGTTTGACAAGATAAGAAAAGTTAATTATATTCAACTCTCACACACACATACAATAGGCTATATTTGTATTCACTGTCCGGTCTAGAAAATCGAGATTAACGGCCGTGGGGATCCGTTGCGCTGACCACATGACAATCTCTATCCGCAAAAGTTGGCACTAACTTCACTGACAAGTGGCGGTCACTCGGTCGGTATAGTTCGCTTGCGGACTACAGGCCAAAGATTACATGACAGAGATACGTAAATTGCATGGTGTATACGGTAAATGCATACCAATTTAGTCAATTTAGACGTTTACGAATAGTACGCACCAATGAGTATAGACTGTTCAGTACAGATACTGACATATAATCTGGAAAATATTAATTACTTGTGTAATACCCATAAAAATGCAATGGATAGACTCATTTCAACTTTATCTCCAAGGTTAAAACCTTAAGAGTAAGATCTTCTGTGAACGCTAGCAAACAAAAATTCTTGAAGAATGCCGTCTTCTGGGATGTGGCTCTGTGTAGACCTTATGTGCACCAACGTGCACCGTCGGTTCACACAAGATCTACACGGAGCCACATCCCAGAAGATGGCATTCTTCATAGTCACCGCCGTGAAGACCTCAAATCATACAAACATTCTTAAAACTGGCTTTAATACATGCAGTGAGAAAATATGTATACACATGCTATTGAATGATGCTTAGAGGCCGTTTCGCAGTCTCTTGAACAAGGAACATCCGTGACACCAAACAAACAACCAAACACATTTATTTATCTGGCTTTTAAGTACCGCACAAGTTCTCTTTTCCACATGACCTAACGTCTGTAAAATAAAAGAAAGCTTATGGCCTTTCGTCCTTCATTATAATTTCATGACTGGGAACAGCTCAAGGTTTCATGAGACGCTGGGTGTGTGGGTTGTGCCTTCTGAACCAGGCAATTTCGATCAGCAAGAGCAGGAAACTGTACGCGATGCTTGCAACATACAGCGACAGGATGAGCTGCACGTGACGCAGGGTGACTGTCGTATTCGGCACGGATTCGTCTTCTGAAGTCACTGACGAAGGAGCGGTCCATTTTGTGCGCAGGTAGTGCAGAATGCCGCTGGTTTGCAGCCGGTGGATACTGCAACACATGCCATAGGCACTCTCAGAAACTTCAGCATTTGTCTCACATTTCCTGGCAGCCGCTATAAAGCGTCTTAGTTTTAAATTTTTGGGTTGTACACTCTGGGAAACAGGATATCTCCGTCGCTATAGTGGATAGGTTCCAGACGGAACGACCGAGAGAACTGGGATCGAATCCTGGTAAGGAGCAATACGTTTCTATAATCTCCATAGATTCTAGACCGGCTCCGGTGCCCACTCTGCTTCCTATGCAGTACTGTGGTTGTGTTCCCGGGAGTAAACCGTGAAAGGCACAAAGCTGATACCTACATCGTTTGCCGAAGCTAAGAATTGTGGCGCTATACCTCCACATCCATACGTCTTCATGGTGTTGTGCATAATTAATTAAGCACAGAGGCCAGACACAGATATTCTAGACTAACAGTTTCCCATCTGTGACCAAAGACGCACATTGCCTATGAAGTGGCTTGGCCGATTCTGTCAAATACACTGAAGCGCCAAAAGTCATGGGATAGGTACCTAGTAACGTGAAGGAGCCCCTCTAGCTCAGCGAAGTGCAGCAACTCGACGTGGCGTCGATTCCACAAGTGGACGGAAGACCTCTGGAGAGATGTTGAGCCATGCCGTCTGGCTAGCCGCCCACAGCTCCCTCCTGGTATTTGTAGGTGCAGGACTTTATGTGCGATGACACGGTGCATTGTCCTGCTGGAATATTCCATCCTTGTGGGGGTACATGAAGTCCATGAAGGGCTGCAAATGGTCACCAAGCAGTGTAACGTAGCGGTCACCGGTCAATGACGGGTTTAGGTGGACGAGCGGACCCAACTCATGCCATGTGAACACACCCCACACCAGTATGGAACCACCATCAGCCTGCACGGTGCCTTGTCGACAACTGGGGCCCATGGCCTCATGGGGTCTGCGCCACACCCGAACCCTACCACCCGCCCGAAACAACTGGGACTGACTCATCGGACCACGCTGCAAATCCTCCAGGGTCCAATTAGCGACGTCACAAGCCCAGGTGAGGTGCTGTGTCCGGTGTCGTGGTGTTAACAGAGGCACTCTGGTCGGTCTTCTGCTACCATATCCCGTGGAAGCTGAGGAACGCTGCACTGACCTGCTGATATGCGTCTGGTACCTCCTGCATTGAATGTGGATGTGATTTCAGCCAGTTCGCTTGTCTGTTACCACGGACAAATCTAGCTAGACGCCGCTGATCACGATCATTAAGCAGCTGTGGTCGGCCAGTGCGCTGTCCACGGTGGATGCAAATGCCTTCCACAAGGTATTCCCGGTACACACGTGACACCGTGGATCGAGGAATGTTGCATGACCGCACAACTTCGGAAATGGAATGTCCCATCCGCCTGGTACCCACTATCATGCCCCGTTCAAACTCCGATAATTCACGTCGGCTTTCCGTGAGCAGACTGGCTGGTGTTCAACCTGACTCACGAAAGAACACCTCACAACTGATACTGCTCTGGGTATTCACGAGCTGTCAAGGGACGGTGGCGCCACTTAAGAAATTGCATGACTTTTGGCACTTGAGTGTATGTTACAGAAAGTATATGAGTGTTAAAATATTCTACGAAAATTTTAATTATTTTAAATTATTTTACATGTACATATACGTCTATTCGTATAGAAGCTATGTGTGAAGTCTTCTTACGTTAATCCTCTCGATATTAAGAGAATATCATTGGTCTTTCTATAGTGTATGTAGTAACCGGCTGTGGCTTGTATTGTGTGTTCTCTGGGTAACACACTATACTAGCTGCACGCTTTAACATTGATATGTTGAATAACTTTCGCTTTTACTCTAGCTGTAAATGTAATTTATTAACTCCACGGAGCTACAATTGGTGGACAGTCAATCTTTATAAGTGTAAAGCAATTTCTCATGTGTTGAGCACCTTCTGATGATGGTCTCATGAGGACCAAAACATGTAAGGGTTTCTATATAATTAAATCAGTGTGGTCGCACTCGATGATATTGTTGCTCACCTACAAACTTTATCTGAGATAACTCTCAATATGGTGTACATTTAAATCAAATAATTAAAAAAATAACGTTCAACTCAGCGCAGTTTGATAATTGTAGAGTGATTGGTTTTTAGAAAATAAGTCCCTAAGTGATTAATTTTTGGGCATTTCCCACAGTCGCCTGTTATTTGAGTAAATGTTTCGAAGACACAGTCCAGCTTCCGAACTATTATTTCAAATAAAAGTTGAGACTGGGAATAATGTCCAAAAATGATCATTTTATTAATATACCAACGTCATATAGTTTTAGATCTCAGGTACTTCAGAGAATTTCTGTTCAGAATAGACAGAAAAATTAAGGCAACATAACAAGAGAACACTTATATATCTTGTACTCGCGTGTTCTCCAGTTTGGCTTATACCTTTGAAATCTTGTTGCAAATATAAAAGTAAAGTAAAGCTACCCCTGTAACAGGCCGTGAAGGCCCATAGGGTTGTGAGGCGTTGAGGGTCCCACATTACCTTGACAATCGGCTCAAAGATGGCGGTAAGGTTGTCAGCCTTATGTACCGGCCGCACTGTACTCCTCAGGAAAATCATTCCTGGTACTCATTCCTGTTAGAGGCTGAGTCGACCCCAGGGCCTAATGCATTTTAAAATTATTTTCTCTTTGCCCAAAATTTAACACTGCAGATTAAATGAAAGCACAACTCTGAAGCATTAAAATAAAAAATGTGAAATTAATTAATAAGATTTGGCATTATTTTTATGGGGATGTCCTATGCATGTTGCGATTTGCTGATCTGCCATGAGACAAATGTACACAGACATGCTGTGGCAAGCTTCACTTTCCAGATGAAGAGAAAAAACTGAGGCAAGAAGAGCTAATCGTTCAACATTTCAAATGCCCTGTGTTAATGTGTACTGAAATGACGCACCTCGAATATTCACGTACCTGCCGGTGGATGCACAGAATGATAAAAATTCAGGACCTACTTCACAGTTTCCATGCATTTTTCTGTTATTTTCCGCATGTCACTCTACTATGTGGCCATTTGTGATATTCAGAGTCTTAAAGGAGTAGATATTCAAGAGACTGCCAAGGTGTCTGTAACGGAAGTGAAGTAAAAGTGACGTGGTTATTGAAAGTGTGGAATGTCCATGTATGAAGAGACAACCACTTATTAAACTTCTATACAATTATTCATTGTCGTTATACAGAATATACAGGCGAACTTAAGTTAAAGAAATTCAGGTTAGAAATGGTTGCAGGCTGCACATTTCAGGTAGGCTTGTTGCAGAGGATTGATTCTCTCGAAGGTCAAAGTTAAGTTAAAGTTACTTTACGACTGGCGGTTTACCGACAATCAGTTCGTCTTGGCGTCAGTCCCCTTGAGAATCACGATCAGGCATTTTTTTTTCAACCGAACCCTAGCGGTAATAGTCCTTATGTAACGTCCTCCCTGACGAGAAGATGGGTTTGTCTCTTGTGACTATGTGTGGCTTTTCCTGAAGTGAACACCTCGCACATACAGCATTTTACTGCAAGTTCTTCCTTTTGCACTACACACAAGTCCTCTGTCAGTACAGGCTTCACAGAGCAGATCATGCCTATCTCTCAGAGTTCAGAGTTACTTTACGACTGGCGGTTTACCGCTAACCAGTTCTTGGCGGCAAGCCCCTTGAGACCCACGACCAAAATTTGTATTTTCCAACTGAACACTTCCAGTTATAGTCCTTATGTAACACCCTCTCTTACTAGAGAATGTGTCTGTCTTTACAGTTGCTGCTGGGCCTCGCCAGCGCAGTCATTCTCAGGTCCGAGTACCACGGAACTAATTACCACCTTTTACTCTCTTAGATTCGAGACTCCCCCAACCTGGAGGACCAGTTCCTCATGTATATCCCCGGAAGAGGGTGGCCCGGTTATACCCCCAGGCATTGGCTTCCCTTTTCATCGCCTTCTACGTCTCACAAGGCTACGGTGGAGGTATTCGACCTCGCCTCCACAGGGATGCATATTTCTCGAGTCGAGCGGAAGCTTACGTTAAGACCAACGGTCAGTCGGCCAGTCTGCCTTGGAATGAAGAGCCATCTGATGCTTACTGCCAGACAGTTGCGTGTTTGTTGATGTGGGGCGCTCTCTCTGACGAGAGGACGTGTCTGTCGTTTACAATTGTTGCTGGCCCTCGCCAGCGCAGTCATTCTCAGATCAGAGTATTGTGAGACTCGTGACCATATTTTACTCTATCTTCTAGGCTTCCTCTTTCGTTGCCTCCTACGACTCGCAGGGCTACGGTGGAGGTATTCGACACCGCATCCACCCGGGATATCTTATCCAGTACCCTCATTTTCAATATCTCTCTGGATAAGACCCTTCCTTAAATAGTTTTGCACCGACTGTGTAGTGCACATGTGGGGGTACCGTTCTGTTACTGTGTTGTCTTGATTTGTTCCCATGGATACCCTCATTATTGAGTCGTTGCTTAGCAACGATAGTTTTACAATAAGTGCGTTGTCGTTACAACGCTTGGTTAAATGTGAGCGGTTCTCACAAAATATTTTCCTCATTTCAAGCATGTGCTGACTTCTACACAAGAATGTACGTATATATAAAACAAACATTTAGTATGGCATACACTCTTCGTAAATTAGACGAATAACAAATCTTCTACGTCAGCTGGAGAGCTGTTAAGTGCACCGAGCATGGAATAGTGACAAAGTTATGACGTCAACCGGTGAAGAACCTGTCAATCTCCCCTCTGACTGGAAGGGAGTCGAGGACTGCAAATTCTGACCAGTGACAATGACAAGCAACTAAGAATATGTGCACAGCCTTTCGAATCAGTGTAAGCCCACAGAAATGCACAGATCTGTGGGCAATCACGACTTAACATCGGGTGAATATGCAGTTCAACTTTATACATTGTGTTGTCTATGTCGAGGTTAATAATTCAAGTAGTATTATCTCCATGTCCCCTATACTACATAAGCTTCCACATTCATTCCAACTCATATTCATTAGCGTCCAGTCATTCGACGCTATATAATCTGAATTACTAACAGCGTCGTTAAGCAAACCATAAATAAATGCTTTCCAACATAATTTGCTATTGATCATGTCTGCTTCAAGACCAAGAAAAACTGTAACTAAAAAAAGAAATAACAATTTCGTAATAAAGCAAAATAGTATCTACTATTCATACGTGAAATCCCTCTGGATATGTTGTAAGCAAGAAAAGATGGAAAATAGTCCACAGTCCCAAAATAAATAATACACGTTTTAATCATGCCCTCTTTCTTCGCGATATGTAATATTAATAAGTCTGTGGCAATTTGTATGCCAAGTAGCGCATAGATCTGAAGGTAAAATGGCATCTGTAAGCAATGGCTTTCACTAATGATGATCAGGGATGAAAATGAAGGACAGTATGTGGCGCAAGAGGAGGAAAAGTGTTAGAAGAATATATTGTGACATGTCCGCTGAAAGCCGGAATAGCTAACCAGAGAAGACGCCCGTTGCCAGGTTGCGGTACTGTAAGTCGAAGTCAGAGTCAAAATTTTGTTACGATCGACAGTGACTGACAGTGGTGTCAAGCCGCATCTGGGGTCCAAAACCATTTTTTTATTACTGTCAGACAGTTGCTTGTTTGTTCATGTGGAGCGCCCTCTCTGACGATAGGACGGGTCTGTTGTTTGAAACTGCTACTAGTCCTCGCCAGCGGAGTTATATCTTCCGCCTATGAATTCTAGCGGCCATTTTGCTTCATGAGTTTTAACACAATTTTTGTGATGGTCATTTTTGTATCTTCTTCTGACTCGGCTCCATTGGACTCTGTCATGATCTGCTGAAATGCCGTTGTGACTACTGTGAACATGTCGTTCATACCTGTTTTGCATTAGGAGCCTGAACTAACTGACTTGGTGTTGTTATTGGTTGTGCCTCTAGGGAAAGGGTGCAGGTCTATACAACTGAGGGCGGCTGAGACTGCTGCTGTTGCTGCGTGTTGCTGTGCAGCGCCGTCGCGAAGGTTAGTCCTCGGGTGATGGGACTGGAAGAGAACTCCCTTCCCGTTGTAGTCTTGGGCGCGCTCTGCAACTTTCTCTCTCTCCTCTCTTCCTCGGCGTGGCTGCAGCTTCGACTTGCATTTGCAGGATGTCGGTATCCATGCTGTGTTGCCCTCTTTTCCGGCATTCCTTGTGCAGGTGACCGCCCCAACACCATAAAAAGCGGGGAGATTGCTTGCAGTTAGCCCAGACATGACCGAATTGTTCACAGTTGTAACACTGCGTGAGACCAGTCTGGCATTCGTGCGGCTCGCAAAGACTCGTCAGTTTGAATATCTCGTGAGACTCTGATGACCTAGGTAAGGTTATTAGGAAGACGGTAATATTTGCTGTGGTTGTTCCTTCTACAGGTGATCGAGAGGTAGTAGACATTTTTTGACGCTAATAGCATCAAAGCCAATTGTCCACTAACCCATCTGAGATGTCCTCTGCAGGTGTTGAGACTGGAAGATGCCCTATCACAGTCTTCATAGGCTTCTGGGATTTGGAATAGAAGGTGAAGTGTGGGTGGTTATTGCTTTCGAAGTGAGAGCGATGGCTGAAAAATCCCCCTTTTCTTTCGAGACGACACTAGTCCCGTTTTTGGTGTTACGGAACTCAAGCTGCTTTTCAGTAAGTCCTTCAGTTGCCTTTACAATTTTATCAGGTTTACTTGAGAGATTAGAACAATGGAGACGGCCTCCCTGCCTGGCTTAATTGCGCCTGATATTGCTGACGGTCGGTCGTGTCGTCCGTCTCCATTTCAATTGACCTCAGAAGGGCGAAGATTTTCTGGATGGCAACTTCAGACTTCGACGGCAAGTGGGAGTCGTTGACCCGTGATGGATGTTGTAAGCTCCTTGGTTTTTGTCGACGTCGCCTATAGGTTTTCGCTTTCGTCGCCTTTGTTCATGGAATTCCTCAATGGGCGGAAGTGCACTAATTGTGGTCTTGGCTGTTTCCCCTTTGGCAGCACTCCCTTTGAGGACTGCCGTCTAGTCGTATAGCACCTCCGTGTACACTCAGTACATAGCGTTATACAGCCCTTTTCCTTTCAGAAGTTCGCGGAGATTCCTCCTGGTGATCGCCATATTTTGGACAACTATAGCCCATTTCGGACTTTCGCAGACTGACACAGGGGTACATCCCGCTGGGCGAGCAATGGCGGTGAGTACCCCTCGTACACGTTCCATGAAAGCGTCAGCGTCAGGAAGCTGCGATGTGGTGATTTCGTATTTCAACCTCAGGGATTCAATCAGATTTGACCATAGCTTCTGAAAATGCGGGGTAGGTACATTAGCCATGGCACGAGTTACGGCTACCCATACTGTAACCGTAAACTATACACACAAGGCACTTGATCTGCAGGGGCCCGCGGCCAGGCCGCCAATTTACTCACACTGGTTGCACCAAACAGGAGAAGACCGTGAATTCACTACGTACAGCTTTCTCCGGTAACTTTGTGTAGAAATTATCCACTGTTAAGTAACGGCTCAATAAACACGTGCCAGCAGCAACGGATACGCACGCAACTCACTGACCCACCACTATCCTCACTAACTCTGACTTACAACACTGTGGACACAAGATGGCAAGATTTAACCGATATCCACTGCTACGCAACGGTCGTTAAACGTCACGTGATCGCAGCCACACTTGCGTATGCAACAGCAGAACTGTTTGAATCGGTTTTCTATGTGGCCCACAGCAACGGCTGCATAACACTACAACAAAGTAGCTGCAAGAAAATGGGGTTTCTGTGTGGTTCGTGCAGAAATTATATAGCTCGGGTGCTACATACCACGTGTGGAGGCAGGTTCGAATACCTCCATCGTAACCCTGTAAGTCGTAGGAGGCGACGAAATGGAACCCAGTGTTTGGGGGTATAACTGGGTACCCTGTTTCTGGGGGATATAAATGCGGGGACCTGGCCCTCCAGGTTGGGGGAGTCTCGAATCTGAGACAGTAAAATATGGACATGGGTCCCGCGGGACTCGAACACGAGGATGACTTGTGAGAGTCAACAGTAATTGTAAACGAAAGACCCATCCTCCCGTCAGAGAGGATATTACATAAGGACTATGACCGCAAGTGTTTAGTTGAAAATATGCTGGTCGTGAGTTTCAAGGGACTTGGTGCTAAGACGAAGTGATTGGTGGAAAACCGCCCGTCGTTAAGTAACTCTGACTCTGACTCTGACTCTGACTCCGACTCACCTTGGTCTTTCCAGTGGTCTCTTTCCTTCTGGCTTTTCCCGCAAATATTCTATATGCATTCCTATTCTCGCCCATTCGTGCTACATGCCCTGCCCACCTCATCCTCCTTGACTTGATCTTGAGCCGTATCCTTCCATTGAAAATTCGATGCGGATTACACTTTCTCTATAACCGCAAAAATGTAGTGAGCATGAATTTGTAAAATATTCACATGTCTGACCCATTTCTTAGTTTACTAGCGTGGGACTGCAGGAAACGACTTCAGCTGAACTGAACTGGCCACGTTAATAACACTGTTGGAGTACGCACTAGGAGTTGATGAGGCTGGTGTACGGGAACCGAGCCCGCAGCTCCAGAGACACGGGCACGGCGAAGTACTGGCCACGAATCTGTTTCATCTGGCAGGATAGCGACGCGTTCTCAATCACAACGCCCATGTTAGGAGGCGTCTCCAGCACCGCGACTCCCCATTCGCACAGCGCCGCCTCCAGGTCCCGATTGTCAACGATATTGCTGCACGGTTTCCTGCTGACCACGTCTCGCCATCTTGGTGCAACTTCTTCATTTGACTCTCTCTCCTGCAAGAGACCTCGCGATAATTAGGTTACCACCAACAAGGTTAGCGTATGACATATTCAGGAGGTACCGTCTAATTGGTATCCATACAAAGGCCAAGGAAAGAAGCCCCCTGGGTTTATCCCTTCCACATATTTTTCGAACTATATCCTTTCATGTTTGCATGTTTGAAATACATTCAAACGCACTGAATCTGTTTGGTAAGCAACGCACTAAGATAGTTTTGCAGGCATACTGAAGTCAAGGATTTGCTTAATGCAGCAGTCTCTCATCTTTATATAATGGCTCCCCCTCACTTTAACGAAGATTTCGTCGTGGCTCCTGCTCAATTTTGTGTGTGTATAAAGGACAGCTTTTTCAGTTTTTCATTTCAAATTCAAAATATTTTAAATTTATACCAATCAACATGTCCCAACGTTTACACATATCATGAGATTTTGAGGATTATATCAGCTAAATTTTACTACGTAAACTTCCTCATATATCCTATGCCCCCCCCCCCCGACTATGGAAACCACTGGCTTAATACGTTGCACAGTAGAATATCAGTGAAATTTTAAAAAAAGAAATGTAGGTAAATCTAAGCAATATTGTACGATATTGTGATATTGAAATAGAGCCCAATATTGAAACAGTAGGAATTGAATTTTCTAGGACACATTTTGGACATGGCTTTACGACCACATCCATAGCAGTAGAGATTTCGATGAACTGGTAGTTCTTAACCTTGGTGAAAGGATTCAAGAACTGAAGAATATACAACCTATACAACTGATTTTTTTTAAGTAAACAAATATAAAAGCAGCATGCACTGTGAAAGACATGAACCAACCTTGAGACGCATGTAAGCGTAGCTAAGGTTCCTGACGCAGAGAGCATGAGTGCCCTTCCTGGCTACATCCTCCAGGTTGCTGAAGGGAAGAGTTGGATTTGTGACCGCCAGACTGGCCATCAGAACCGCAGAGTACGAATTGTAGAGCAGTAGGCTGAACAGTAACGTGGTCATCATCAGCAGACGACCAGAGGCTGAGCTGGGCTTCAGCTGGAACCCTGCAATCCACAGCCATACCTAACACAGAATTCTTTGTTAGCCGTCTGGTTCCGAGCAGAGTGGGTGCCATTTTCTTTCTGCACGTAAAGGAGACAGCGCCGACAGGGTAGAAACTCTGTCCCACCCTGGTCATCCTTAGCATCGGTACACGATGTTGGTTCATGTCATTGTTGTATTTGATTTGTTACGTCTTCTACTGTGGCATTAATCCACTCACCTCCTCTCTGACGGAAGGAGGATGACGTCATGTCAGAAGTGTGCAAATTGTTCGTGCACGTCAACAGAGAACGTCAAATCACCTCGAATAATATTTACACTGTCATTACATTATATGTTGGGGCCTACTATGAATGATTATATAACATGTTGTACCTTTACTTAAGCTTTTAAAGCACAGTAGTCACTAGAAGTATAGCTGCCCTGGCATTAAAAACTCTGAACTTTTTCAGAGAATGTATTCATGAGTTTTGTATGATTCTCAGATAAAACAGCCAGTATTTCCCTGCATATAATTAACAAATTGATCTCGCTAACGGGAACGACGTGTGTTTTCTGTGAGGTAGCAACAGAACCTTCATTTTATTTAGACCTCCTTTGCGCTTCAAATAATAAAGTTATTTGAAAATCTCTGTTGGTCACTTGAATGGTAGTGTACAAGACTGAGATCAGCTTGAAGCTCTTTGCACTGTTTATTAGCATGAAGGTTGTTGAAATTTAAATTGGTAATTGTTAAAAATAAACTGAATTTAAATAACTTGGAAAGTTTTGTAAATAGAATTGCATTTATACTAATATAGTTAACATGACTAAATTTCGGCGTGATTTTTGTATCTTGGTGAAGTAAGTAAATGCAAGTTGAAGGCAGGGTATGTAGGTGTGAACAGGCTGCTAGCTGGGCCTGTCGACACAAGAATGCTCATGAGTGTTACCGACTGAAGCTCGGAAGTACACAGTAACGAGATTCATTACACTCACCAGTTCGGTTATGCCACTAAGACCTACATTTTTTTTTATCTCTTGGTTCATACAAAGAATAAGTAAAATTTTCGTTGCTGACGACGTTGAAAATTTTCAAATTTCTACCACATAAATTAAACTACTAACTTAATTTTGAAGATATTAAAACTTGATTGCATTTTAGTGTTTTATATACGTTTAAAGACACTAAATTATTCCAAATGAATTCTTGCCAAACTTAGAAAATTTCTCCATAGTTTAGAATGCTGAGCACTCATGACACACGTCCGTACGGTTCCAGAATTTGACGAAAATTATATTAGATCGTAGATGGCTTGCATTTTTTAGCGACTTAACAAGTCCCTTGTACGTCGGCCACTTCTGGCCTATTGTAATAGCCCCAGACGATAGGTGAGGGTGATCGTGGAGTAATTGGTGGAATGAAGATTGGCAGGGGAAACCGAAGTACTCTGAGAAAACCTGCCCCAGCACCACTTTGTCCACCACAAATCACACTTGACCAGACCGGGATCGAACCCGGGCCGCCGCGGTGGGAAGCCAGCGACTAACCGCTTGAGCTATGGCACGGCCTTTTGAACATAGTAACTATTTCATAATTAACCTGACACAGCTCTGATTAGCGGGCAGTCCCAACCTAAAATCCAGATGTGTTCCCAATTTAATGTGGTAGGTGTCGTACTATGTACGCTCTCACCCACTAAAAACTAATAAGTGCACATAAATGTCAAGAACCCAGATATTCAGGGGCCCTCGGGATCTATAATTTTCTAAAAACACAGTCCAGTAGTTAAGTAACTAAACTAATTAGGATTTTTTTTCCTTGGCACTACAGCCACAGTGGGCCTAGGCCTACCTCCATGAACTTCTCCGTTCACTTCGGTTTTTCTAGATCTTACACATACGGTAGGACTCCTTGGGCGGGTGATCAGCTCGTCGCAAGGCCTCTACCTGTACACAAACACAGAAAAACGCACATAAACATCCATGCCCTGAGTGGGATTCGAACCCACAATCCCGTCTTCCGAGCGAGCGAAGACAGTGCATGCCTTAGACCGCTCGGCTACCGTGACCGGCCCTAATTAGTAATATCTGGATAAATTAGCATCAGTGAAAAGATTCCGAAGCAAACAATTCCTGTCTCTGGCTATAGATTCTTCATATAGTCCCACCATTCCTGCTCCCCTAAGAAACTCAGTAACAGCTTTACTGAATATGAACTCTTTCGTCAGCTGCAATTTATTTTCAGCAGCTCACTTCCGCCTATAAATCCGTCCCTTAAGTCTTAATACACAGCCGCACATTATTCTGAGTGGTTTCTCATGAAGGATCACTGTAAGTGATCAGTTCCCACCTTTAGCTACATTTTCCAATGATGAGTCTCTATTAATCCACTTTGATTTAGGGTAAGACAAGTTTTCGCTGAATATATACATTGTCAGCCATGCGAAATACTTTTCAAGCATGTAATTCCAACTGACGAGCAAACTCGCCACTACTTCCACAGCCTTCTCTTAAGGCGCGTCGACATTGCTCGTGCTCGTGCCCGCCAGGCTTGTCCGGCTTTTACTTGTGCCCGTAAGTCTTCGTCCACACTACTTCAGTTGCTCGCCAGGCTTCGGCGTCTGAGGATCCGTATATTTACTCGTAGTGTGTATAGGCTGTAGTCGTATTTTAAATTATTGGCTATAGTTCTTAAATTAAAAATTTTAAATTTGCTTGTCTCATGACTTGTCATATCGTCCACATTACTCGGGAGCATAGCGAGTCACACGAGCACGAGAACGAGTAATGTGGACGCGCCTTTAGAGACACGCTTTGAAAGTCTCAGCAAGGCTTAGGCTTTTATACGTATGCTTAGAGTACGTGGTCTTTCCTTACCTAATTGCACTCATATTTGTGTTACGTGTATAATGATTTAGGATGACTTCTACTTTGTGCTTGTATAATTTATTTATATAATAATAAGCGTAAGGGATTTTAAAAGCCACATACAAATTGCGGATTTCTGTTTACCTCTCAAAATTTCCGGTAGTAAAGTAAATTCTCTTCTGTAGGCCCTACAAATTTAACACATACATCTGGGAGAATTGACAAAAATATCTTAAACTCGCTTAAGTTATTATATGGAGAGTGGCTACTGTTAAAAATGCCACAAAATTTTTATAATAACTCTTCTGATGGTAAAATTTACCTTCTGAACCAATACTGCCGAGCACTGATAGGATGCAAATGCCTAAGTTCGGATTACCAAGGCGATCCTGTTCCTTGTGGAGATGATAGAGAGGGTCTATATGTGAGTATGACCCACTGTTTTCTTCAAAGGCTCCATACTTATACATGATTCTCATGGCCATAATGAGAAGCACCATCGTGGCCAATGTGGCCATCCATAAATATGGACTCCACACTGTGAAATGAGATTCAGGGGATGCCTGGCTTTCTGGTGCCCTCACGTACAGCTCGTACCTACACGAAAGAATGGGCATTGTTTTAATAATGTAAAACTCCAACTAACCAACTGACTTAAGGTAACACGAGGTAAAGGTGTCCATTGAAAACGACAATTTTAACTGAACGCTGTCAAACTTGCGTTGTTCTAGAGAGGTTGCAGTTTCAGATTTCTGCCCGGATACGGGCTAGCCTGCCTGAATGTTTTGTGGTTTTTCTCAGTCCCACCAGGCAGATTCTGGAATACAACCTTAAATTGAAACACTACCAGTTTCTTCTGCATCCAGACTCATTCAGTATTCTCCGATTATCATACCAATCTGTGATAAATATTCTGAACTAATTTGATTTGTCTCATTCTGGTCCGTCACACTATCAATTACAAAGTAGATAACTTTTAGTCCAGTATGACACACAGGTTCACAACACTTCGGTCTTCATTCGCCTTACATGTTTCGATTCAAAAGAATCATCTTCAGAAGCGCACCACTACGAGCAGGAAACACTGTCACATAAGATGTTTCAACATTATGCACTTAGGTTATGAATAGTGCTCACTATATCACAGTTTGCCCTATGCAGCCACGTTGACGTGTAGATTTACGTGTGATGTTTCGTTTAAGCGTATTTGCTGGGTATTCCATTGGGGTTTCCCACTACACGCAATGCGATGTTCACTTTTCCATAAAAATAGATTCCCTATGTATTTAAAATCGTATTAAAAATCTTTTGTATGTACATACGACACCGCACGCACGTAAACTACACAACTAACAATAAGAACACACAACCAAGAGAAATAACCGACATCTTCTACCATCCGGAAGAAAAAACAACATGACCCAATGCTGGTTCACGATTTTTAACATAATAACTAATTTTTTACATACAAAAGATTTTTAATACGATTTTAAATACATAGGGAATCTATTTTTATGGAAAAGTGAACATCGCATTGCGTGTAGTGGGAAACCCCAATGGAATACCCAGCAAATACGCTTAAACGAAACATCACACGTAAATCTACACGTCAACGTGGCTGCATAGGGCAAACTGTGATATAGTGAGCACTATTCATAACCTAAGTGCATAATGTTGAAACATCTTATGTGACAGTGTTTCCTGCTCGTAGTGGTGCGCTTCTGAAGATGATTCTTTTGAATCGAAACATGTAAGGCGAATGAAGACCGAAGTGTTGTGAACCTGTGTGTCATACTGGACTGAAAGTTATCTACTTTGTAATATTCTGAACTACTGAACGAGTCCTTAAATACGTATATCAAGGCTGGAATATAAATTGCAGTACACGTATAAATACTTTTTAGACATCATTGGGTATAATGCTATATTTTAGCGTCCTGTTGCACTGATTCATGTCCAAGATGTGTATTTTTGCCAACCGTCTTACAGTGCACACAATTTCACCTTTTTATCTTCACTTCCACACTACATGTTTCGGCACTAATGTGCCATCTTCAGGTGTGTCTCTATCCACGTCAAGCTACTGCACTGCATGCCATCATGTCTCCGTCATAAAATGACTAAAATGCGTATTCGTCATGTATAACAACAAAGTCTAAATACTAAAGCTTTGCAGGATTCGTCATCCATACGTCGTATCTTAAATACGCGAGTCACGTCATCCTCCTCTGTGGGAGCACTCTTCCTACATTCATGTGTGTATTGTGCTCTTTGTTGTGTCCTTCTCTTGTGACTGCGTGCATTGTATTGCATCTAAAACCTAACATGACACTTTCGTACAATTTCGGCCAATCACACTTGTCTGTTTGATTAAAAATGTAAATACATTTGTATTTTTATTTCTATCAATTACATCCTCCATTAATATTGTTTTAGACAGAAGCTGAAATTTTTAAGCATAAAAATATCTAATAATACGCACAATAATTTTAAATAAAAAGTAAAAGTAAGTAAAGTAAAGCTATCCCTGTAACAGGTCGTGGAGACCCATAGGGTTGTGAGACGTTGGGGGTCCCACCTTATCTAGACAATCGGCTCAAAGATGGCGGTATGGTTGTCAGTCTTACGCTCCTGCCGCGCTTTACTCCCCAGGAAAATTATTTAATTAATTCCTGGTACTTATTTCTGTTAGAGGCTGAGTCGACCACAGGGCCATAGTGCGGCTGGAAGGATTAGGTCAACTGAAAAAGTCCAATCACCTCATCGGGACTTGAACCCGCGATCGCATAGCCCCTCAACCAACTACGCTACCGCGTGCCCCACAGTAATTTTAAGTACAATGAAAAATACGATGCTTTTGCAGCTCCAACTTCCTACATGTTGTTTGTGGTCAAATGCGTAAGCCATAGTATCCAAACAAGACACGATAACCGTATATTCAAATATATTTAATTAGTAAATTTTACTTACAATTCCAACTCTTTCTAACTACCATGACTTTTTTTAACATTGCAAGTGTTCAAATGCTAATTCTGACATATTGCTCACCTTAAAAGTATCCAGCATGTTGTGGTAAAGTGCTGTGACTGCTGGAAGTCTTATTTTACAGTTGTTCACAGGAAAATATTTGCAGAGAAATAAGCATGAAACTGTGACTCACTAAACAAGCACTTGCATATTCATAGTTTGAGAACCTCTACTTCATTGCCAAGGTCTTCAGCGGTTATGTCACAGGTTTGTTTTACGTCTCAATAAATATCTTGGCGGGTTTACTCTGATGCCTCTGTCGTTCTTTGCTTCATTATATAAGCTCTTCTTTAACAAACTCGCTGCGGTTATGAGTTGGCTGAACCGAGGCCGCGGAATTATGTAGCTATTTGATCGTCAATAACAGGAGACATGTATTTGCTTCAATAATATAAAACATATTCGATTATACAGTGCGTACAATCAAGTGCGCGCCGCGGCTGCAATTTGCCGTGAGTCATACCACCGCAGAACGGATGCAGTCGCGGGGAGTGTTGCAACTCCTCCCCGCGACTGCATCCGTTCTGCGGTGGTATGACTCACGGCAAATTGCAGCCGCGGCGCGCACTTGATTGTACGCACTGTATAATAGGCTATGCTTTCCTCTTCTTTCAGTATTTTCTCTCTTATGGAATTCTTACGAATTGGAGCAGAGATCACAGTATTGGAAGGTAGGCTTGAGTTGTATTACATTGTCTACCCTTGCTGAAATTCGTCCAGAAATTAGCATCACTTAGTTCATATTATCGCGCTGCCAAGTTTAGCTTCCTGGTGCAAATGTGGCTACTTTTCCAGTACCTTTAAAATTATTGAGGACTGCTATTTTTGACGTACTTTGTTTTTAACAATTTTCCGTGTTCTTTGTCGATTGATTATTTCGTATACCATCATTTTGGTCCACGACCATATTTTGGGAAGTTCTCGGCACAATTCTGAGCCAAGAAGTATGGGATTTATTTTTTTGAACTTCATATTGCGTACGTCTAATATAACTGGAGAGTGGGCAAGAGAAGATTTCATAAGAAATGAAGAACGAAAGGAAGGAAGGAAGGAAGGAAGAGAGAAAGAAAGACGAAAATATTGTAGACAAAACAAGAATAAAAAGAAAGAAGTTGGTTATATCAAGGAGGATCAGATGGGTGTGACGTGTAGGGCGCATAGAAGATATGAGAACTGCAAATAAAATTTTCATCGGAAATGCGAGGAGCTCTGATGGACTCAGGTGTAAATGGGAGGACTGATAAACAGAAAAGAATAAGGTGCTCTTGATGTTCGTAGTAATCACGAAACGTCATAATGAGTAGATGAATTCACTTCGTGACGCCATGTAGTCTGACAGAAAATTAACCAACGTTTCGGAGGAACGTGCCAACTTTTGCGGATAGAGAGTGTCACGTGGTCAGTGCAACGAATCCCCACGGCCGTTAATTTCGGTTTTCTAGACCGGAGCCGCTATTTGCTTGAAATAACTCCTCAATTATCATCACGAGGCTGAGTGGACCCCGTTCCAGACACTACTTCTCAGAAAAAAATCTGGTAGCGCCGGGAATCGAACCCGGACCTCTGGATCTGTAGCCAGGAACACTGACTAAACTTCGCCGACAAGTGGCGGTCGCACGGTCGGCACAGTTCGCTTGCGGACTAAAATCACGGAGTTTGTTTTTGTTTGTTCGGAGGAACGTACTTCCACGACCTTCAAGACTGAACAGTAAGCCGAGCAAGCAGCTTTTTGATTTGTGGCTTCCTTGTACGTCTAATTGACCTAATAAGTCTTGAACAGTACGACCTGAAATACTTTATTTACACAACTAGAAATTAGATGGAATGTTTAAAGCTGCGAAGTAAAGATGCAGTAAACAGAACTTACTGAAGGGTAACACCTTTGTTCCTCCGAAAAATTAGCAAATTTCTACCGGGTTTTACTCCGTCACTTCCCAGAAAATAGTAACCACTCTTCATAATAACCGTAATGAAAAACTGAAGTCTCATGAAGCTTTAAGACTCCTCGTACTGCGCCATAACCATGCACTTCCTTGCTTGACCTCCTTTACAGAACTTTGGACCCTGAGCCTACGTGTCGTTACACAACCTGGGATTCGCTGCTAGAAATATCCAGATACTCTGTAATCCGCTTGAGGCTTACGTCTGTCACGTCACATCCGGCAAACCTGTAGACTAATACTTGAATATTATCTAGAATCAACACCGTCAGCAGACTCGGAGTCACATTGCAACTGACGGTCAGACAGTCTGTCTGTCTCGGTGTCGAGCCCCGACCAGATATTCATTCTTGTTTGAAAGTTACTGTCCTGTCCACGTGGGGCGCCCTCTCTAAGGAGAGGACGGGTCTGTCATTTGTCAGTCATAGTCAGTAGCATTATGTCCATTGTCAGTATACAGAATTATTTACAATCTACATGTTATAAATTATTCGTATATACATATTCAAGGCCTTTTTCAGTCCAGATTCAGTACAGCAGATTATGCTCTATTTATAGTAGCTTCCGCTACGGCGGAAGTCTAGACACTTGATCGGTCGTGAGCTTGACCGCCGCCAAGTTTTAAACCTCTTATATTTTCTGTGTCGGGCTTCGTCTTATCCTGTGTTTCGGTATGACTTCTGCTTGTTGCCTGCATAGTTTTGTTATATAATCATATACGTACGGAATTCTGAAAGCCAACCGTCAACAATGTGTGCAGCTGATACATATTTACCAGCTAGAGGCAACTGGTCGCGTGAAGCCATATTGTCCCATGTTGTTCCCGGTAATGACTGCAGGCTGAAGGAGCACGTCCGCAGCCCCCGATCTCAGTAACGCTTGGCCTTCCAAGAATCCGGCGAGTTTTATCACTGTCCTGCAAAATTGGTGACATGAACAAAAAGAGGTTACACCGACTATAATCACAAATATTATGTTGAGCTGCATAGTGAATATATCATCTTTGTAGTGTCTAAAAGACTTATACATCTTTGCTTATCTTACGGTACTACCAGGCATTTCACAGTATAGTGAGAAAAACTATTAAATATCTCCGTCAGGATAGCCTGTAGCCCTGCCGAGATTCAACCCCGTTTTCTTTTGATTACAAAGCAAGAGCCTTAGGGCGAGGGCACACCAAGGAAACTGGCAACTGCAACTCAACCGCAAATTACAAGAACTGTTATCAGCCTGAACTGAACACATGTTACTGAATGGAGCAGCGCAAATTGAGGAAACTGCAACACAGATAAGAATTATTGGGAATTGCGGTTGCGTTGCGGTTGCTAGTTTCCTTGGTGTGCCCTCGTTCTTAGACTAACTAACTAACTAACTAACTTCATGGAGCTGAACTCTTCTTAAGATGCCACCAATTGTGCAGCTACTCAAGAACTTCCCAGCATTTTATGGAACCCGAAGGTTCATCACCTTGTTCACAAGAGCCTTCCATTGGTCCTTATTCTGAGCCAGATCGATCCAGTCCATACCACCCCATCATATCTCTCTAATATCCATTTTAATATAATCCTCCCGCCTACATCTAGATCTTCCTAGTGGTCTCTTTCCTTCTGGCTTACCCATCAGAATCCTACATGCATTCCTCTTTTCACCCATGTGCGCTACATACGTGTCCATTTCATCCTCCTTGACTTAATTATTGGAGGACGAAGTCCAGCTGGGTCCACTGGGCACGGAGGCCACTGATTGGCCTAATGTACCTGCCCCGGGCGATTATGATGATGAAGAATTTGGTGGAATGAAGATTGGCAGGGGAAACCGAAGTACTCGGAGAAAACCCGGCCCAGCGCCACTTTGTCCACCACAAATCTCACTTGACCAGACCCGGGATGGAATCCGGGCCGCCGCGGTGGGAAGCCAGCGACTAACCGCTTGAGCTATGGCGCGGCCTCCTCCTTGACTTGCTCATTCTAATTATACTTGGCGAAGAGTACAAGTTATGACGTTCCTCATTATGATATTCTCATGAGCACCCTGTTCTCAAACACCCTCAGTCTGTATTCCCCCCTTAATTCCAGAGACAAAGTTTCACACCCATATAGAACCACAAGCAAAATGATTTTATGTGTTTAGAAAGCATACAAGAAAACAAAAGGTCCTGGACTGAACGGTAGCAAGCACTACCCAACTGAATCTCCTCTTAATTTCCTCCTGAATCAAGTTTTGATTTCTTACTGACGTTCCCAAATACGTATTTGAACTGTGCCACATTTTCAAAACGTCTGTTAGCTATCTTTATATCACAATTTTGCACTGTATTCTGGTGAAGAGGCAGCAACATTTACATAATTTTCTTTGCGTTTACTTCTATACCAACTTCCTTACTGGCATCAGTTACAGTTTCCGTGTTTTTTTATGGTATCTATGTTATCACCCAGTATATTCACATTGTCAGCATAGTTCAGCAGCTGATGTGTCGTATTTGATTTCAGTCCCATCTGGTTTGCCTTGACCTTCCTAATTGCATATCTAAAGTAAATTTGAAAAGCAGTGGCGGTAAAGCATTTCTTCGTTTTAGACCATTTTTGATAGGAAAATTATCAGACAAATGGTTACTTATACGGACTTTATTATACTTTCGTTTGAACACATTTTAATCAGCCTAAATAATTTCATGGTTACCTCAAACTCTATGAAAATATCGTACAATACTTCCCTCCTAACGAAAGGTTTCGAAAATAAAATACAGATAATCACTGATGATTTCGAGCTTTATTTAAACGTTACTATGCTTTTATGTTCTTTTATTGGGTAATGTTAGGGGTAGTGATATTACGAGTTAAAACCCTCTTAACTAGTTGGAAAGCTACGAATGATATTCCTTGACAAAACGTAGATACGAACAAATATTTCTCAATGAAGAGATAAACTTTTATATCAGCGATAAGAAATTTGTAGGACGTGTAATGAACTGTATCTTGATATGTTAGTTCCTCCCAGAATTACTGGGTTTTTGGACTTTTTCCATCATCCGGAATTCTAGGTAATACAGGACAATCTAGGTAATAGAGGACACAACGTTTCGGAAACTGGATCTGCTTCTATCTTCAGGTGAGAAAGGAAAACACCTACTCAATTGGGCCCATTAGAAAGAGCTAATATCAATCACTGGACAACTCCTGTCAGATTTAGAAATTTCAACATACAATATATGAGTAGGCTAGTTCAATGAGAGATAACAAGAAACCATAACATAAAAATTGTGATAGAGCACGCATATGCGTGGAACTAGGATAGAAAAGGAGGTAGAAATTTGTGTTAGATATCTAGGTGGCAAAGAAACAAGTGCATGAGCACCAATGCGAAGAAATGGGAAAAATTGTGAAGACATGTAATATCTACCACTAGTGCCATCTGTGGGGTAAAATGTGAACAGTCGAGACTGGAACCTTATGGAAACGCACGAAGAGTCTGTCACGTCATACAGATCTTCTCTGCGCGTTAGAAAACTCATTGCTGATGAGTGGTATTCAGATAGGAGAAATGTCCAAACTGGGTTGGCTGATTGGAGTGGTTAAGCATGTCATATGGGCCGATTCCTTATGTTTCCTATACCTGCTGTTGCTTTCAATTTCCAAAATCCTGGCATCATCCCAGCCTACTCTGTGATCCTCTTCATATTCATGTTGGGTTAATTTCGAATTTTCTAGAAGACCCTGTTGGAGATTGTGCCTATGTTCACGGAGCCGCACGGCTAGAGGGCTCCCTGTTTCCCAAACAGAACTTCTCCCAAAGTCACAGGGAAGACTCTCCTGAAGACGGAAACAGATCCAGTTTCCGAAACGTCGTGTCCTCTATTACCTAGAATTCCGGACGGTGGAAAAGGTTCAAAACCCAGTAATTCTGTGTGGCATCCACCATCGTCAGAACCCTTTAGAATCTACGTATTAGGTCATATTTGCTTAAGAGAGGGTAGGAGATAAATAACTCAGCTCCAGAAAGCAGAAAAACTTTGTCCCTTCGTAACGCTCCTTTTTACAATTTCAAATTCAGTTCCAAATTTCTGGTAAGATACTGGAGTGACTTACCTGAACTGTAGGACTCGCTCGATAATTAACCACAGCTCCCCGATATACCCCGACAGTTTTGTTTCGTTGTTGCTTGTGCGCATCACCACATAGGGCACATACTGGAAAGAGCATAGATAAAGATAAGATTGCCGTGTAAATCTGAAAGCGGTCAAGTAATATGAAGAAATAACCTAACTTAGAAATGCCTGAAAACAAACTTATCACAAAAACATTTGGATCTAAGAGGGATGAGGAAAGTGCGACATTTAGAATATTACATAATATAGAATTTCGTGATTTATACATGTAACTGTTATTGTTAGGGTAGTAAAATCAATGACGTATCGATAGAGCGAAAATGCAGTTTTGATGTGGAGGAGAAAATTAATACGAAATATTTGTTTAGATGCCGCTTTGAAGACGGAAGTTATTAGAGGATAGAATGAAAACATCTTTGGGAAATATACCGTGAGGCTGGAAGACGGGTAGTACTGGCTAAGAATCGTGTTTAGTGGCTTGTGATGTTGTCGTTTTGTTTTATATTTTTTCCTTGGAACTACAACCCCAGTGGACCTAGGCCTACCTCCATGAACTTCTCCGTTCACTTCTGTTTTTCTAAATCTTTCACATTCGGTAGGACTCTTTGGGCGGGTGATCAGCTCGTCGCAAGGCCTCTACCTGTACACAGATACAGAAAAACGCACACACACAAACTAAATATCTATGCCCTGAGTGGGATTCGAACACACGATCCCGGTTTCCAAGCGAGCGAAGACAGTACATGCCTTAGACCGCTCGGCTACCGTGACCGGCCAGGCATCTAGTTTACTTAATATAATTCTATGCTTGACAGAAAAAGGACTTAGTTCTCTATTATCCCAGTCTAGTACACTCATGCAGTTTAACCCAATAAAATGGGGGCAAGTGTCGTTTCCATCTCAGATGTTTGCAATGCCGCTGTTTCAGTATTACTGATGGTAGGAAATTCAAATGTAGCCAAAACGAGGTGTCTATTCATAAACGTAAAGGTAAAACTATCCCAGTAACAGACCGCGGAGGCGTGGAGACCTATTCATGCCGAATTTTATGAAAATATATCAGTTTGTTTAAAGTTATTCAGGGGCGGATACTCAGGCAGGCAGACGTGCAGATATCACATCGTGTCTTCTGATGTTATAATGTGAGGCATAATGAACTTACTAACGCTTAAGGTACATATATACTCACGTTTTGTGTAGCGACAATTATCGTTCGATTTGACATGCGCTTATAAAAATCATCATGTCTCTTCAGGAATCCCACCGACAGGTTGAATGTGATATGATACATGTCCTTTTTAATCATCACTAAATTAATTTTTGGATCATTTTCTGTGGTAATTACATGAGCTAAACCATCTTCATGGACGTAAAATATTGTGTTAGACTGACCGAAACTGGAGAATAACAAAAGCTGCACAATTACCTGGAAGAAAAGTAAAATTTCTATCAAGTTTGTTGCACAGAAAGAATTTTCAGGTAGAGAATAGAGCCTGTTACTTTTGTTAGATAAATTAGAGAGAGAAGATACCGCTTATTTCAAATACAAAACAACCAACCGTCCGAACCGTAAATTCAACGACGTGTCGCAGTGGTAAAGCAGGATGCTCCTTGTATGCCTAGTTATCCCTCCATAAATGCACTTCTCAGTAACCTGTACTTTAGCGAAAATAATTTCTTGGAGCTTTGTCCGTCTTGAAAGCTACAGCTGCTCAGCTGATTAAGAAATTCCCTGCTTTATATGGACACCAATCAATACCACATTCGCAGCATCCCTTCAGTGGAACTCATCCCTAGCCAGTTGAATCCATTCCGCAGCCTCATACTTCGTCTCTTTAAGAGAACTTTCATTATTAGCCTCCCATCTATTTCTGGGACTCTCTAATTATCTCTTCTCTTGGGAAGAGAAATATGCATGTCTTATCCTTACTGCTTCGTAAGATTTGATTAATTTATAAATCTGATCCTTCAGCACTGTTAAAGGTCAGATATTCGCGTGGTTAAAGTTTGAAACTCCGAGCTCCAAGGCGTTTCATATTAATTCCAGATGTCGCTAGCTCAAATGTCTCTCTGTAGGCTACCCATTTTGCGACATCGGTGTTTTCCTTAGTACCACCTCATGAGTTATGGAATGATGCCTTAACATAGGCCATTTGCAACGTACCTCCATGTTCTGTTCTCATCCGATTTGCTGTTCGATACCCATCATGTTATTCGGCGCTATCTAATCCTAGAAATTGCAACAGTCTCCAAATAAATCAAGAATAGTGAAAAATGAAGTCAAGAGTGGCGTGGAAGAAATTAATTTAAAGGAAAAGACAAGTGACCGCTTGAAGTGGGACTCGGCATTCTGGTCTACACGTCACAATCAGATAACAGACAACGAATATCCCTGTTGGTGTCTTTCTCGAAATTTACTGTAAATTTTCCGAAAATATTTTGAATTGAAAACACCAAAGTCGTCGTCGTCGTCGTCATCATCATCATCATCATCACCACCACTACTACCACCACCACCATCACCACCACCATTACCACCACCATCACCACCATCACCACCACCACCACCATCACT